TTTTTCCAAGCCTTTCCGTTTCCTAACAAATGGGGCAATGTCATTCTTTCTGATGGAGGCATAGATTTCCATTGTGTATATATACCACATTTTCTTGATCCATTCATCTATTGAGGGGCATTTGGGTTGGTTCCATATCTTAGCTATGGTAAATAAGGCTGCAATAAACATAGTCGTGCTGGTAGCTTTAGTGTGGTCTTGTTTGTAAACATTTGGGTAAATGCCCAAATGTGGGATTGCTGGGTCATAGGGGAGCTGTATGTGGAGTTTTATGAGGAACCTCCATACTACTTTCCAAAGTGGTTGAACAAGTTTACACTCCCACCAACAATGGAGTAAGGTTCCCTTCTACAAAATTCTTGAGACCAGATTTTGTAATCCAGGATTTAGAAAGCTAAAGATGCATATACTATATATTATGCAATACTTCTGGGTGTGGTATACAACAATATTCCACAATAAAATTAGTTTAATGTTATTTTTTAAATTGTACTGGGGCTTGAGGGGTGGGAAGGTGGCTCAGTGGTGGAGTGCTTGCATGGCATGCATGAGGCCCTGGGTTCAATTCCTCAGCACCATATATGCAGAAAAAGCCAGAAGTGGTGCTGTGGCTCAAGTGGTAGAGTGCTAGTCTTGAGCTGAAATGCTGAGGGACAGTGCCCAGGCCCAGAGTTCAGGCCCCACGACCAACAAAAAACAAAAAACAACCCTCCCCCCAAAAAAACCCAAAACAAAAATACCCCAACAAATTGTACTGGGACTTGAACCTGAGGCCTTGCTCTCTTACTCACCTCTGTTTCCAGATTTTTGCAGGTTAACTTGAGAGCCTCTTGGATTTTCCTACCTAGGCTAGATCTGAACCATAATCTCAGATCTGTGTCTTGAGTAGCTAGGATTTTAGGTGTGAACCACCAGTGTCCAGTTCAAATGATCAATTCTATAGTAGCAAAATATTTAAATATTTATAACAAGTAAAATAAGGCCCATAAATTAATTCATAATTGGATCAGATTTTATAGCCAAATGAGTCCTCAAAAATAAGCAAACCGGGGCTGGGAAGGTGGCTCAGTGGTAGAGCGCTTGCCTTGCATGCATGAGGCCCTGGGTTCGATTCTTCAGCACCACATAAACAAAAAGAAAAAAGCCGGAAGTGGCTCTGTGGCTCAAGAGGTAGAGCGCTAGCCTTGAGCTGAAGAGCTGAGGGACAGCGCCCAGGCCCAGAGTTCAGGCCCCATGACCGGACCCCCCAAAAAATAAAAAATAAAAATTGGTAGTCCTAAGGTTTGAACTCAGAGCTTTGTGTTTGTTAGATAAGTACTCTACCATATATGTCACACCCTCAGGCCTAAAATCATGCACTTTTAATAGAAATCATATTCTGAACTCTGAATGTTGCTAGGAAAAAAAACCCAACACATTCTCAATAGCGAGAAAAGAATGGCCCATATAAAAGCCCAATTTGCCCAAACTATGATTTTAATCTTTGAATTATAGAAGTTCATTAAGCTTGGATAAAAATGATCCTACTTCTGTGTGTGTGCACATATATGTGCACTGAGGTACTATGGCTTTAACCCAGGGCCTCATGCCCTCACTTGGCCTTTTCCACTAAATTGGCTCCATTAAAGTGGAGCCAGGTCTCCACTTCTTTCATTTTGCTGATTAACTTGAGATGAAAGTCTCTCAAATCTGCCTGGGCTGACCTGAAACCTTGATCATTAGATCTCAGCCACCAGAGTCGTTAAAATTATAGAAATAAGCCACCAGTACCTGGCTATGATCCTACTTCTAAAAAAGGTACTTGTCACTGGGGGCTCCTGTCTATAATCCTAGATGTTCAGGAGGCTGAGATCTGAGGATTAAGGTTTAAAGACAGCCCTGTAAGGAAAATCCATGAGACTCTTATCTCCAATGAACCACCGGACAATTGGAAGTGGAGCTGTGGCTCAAAATGGTAGAGCACCAGTCTTGAGCAACAAAGCTCAGGGATACTGCCAAGGCCCTGAGTTCAAGCCCCACAACTTTAAAAAAAATAGGAGGGTTGAAAACTAACTTTACAGCTTCTAGGGGTGGTGGTGGGGTGAGAGAAGTTGGGGAGGTGGGCTGAGAAGGGATGGTAGGGGAAAAACAAAGGAGGGGGTAACAATGCTCAGTAGGAAATGCACTCATTACCTTACTCATGTAAGTGTAACCCCTTTGTACAGTATCTTTACATTTAAAAATAGATATATTAAAAAAGGAGGTATTTGTCCATGATGGGCAGAGCTTTCCTGAACCAGATCACAGGCCTGATGATCCTAGGCCAAGAAGAATATTAGATCATATTTTTACATTTTTTTAAAGACTCTTACACATGTTCAAAGATCTACTAAAGGTGGACTTTAATAAGAAACACAAAAGATAAATGCTTCATAAAGAGAAGAGTTGGATTTTTAAGGGAAAATAATGCTGAGGACCTATAAAAGGATGCTATTTATAAACATGACCCTAAAGGTCTTTCTAATTGGGTTTTTAACAACCCAGGTGTTTATGTATGTTGGTCTATGTTTGTGTGTGAACAAGTGAGAAACTAATAGAAACAAAGCAAAGATGTATAAGTTACTTAAACTAACACCACAATATGCAGAGCTAAATGCCAGGGAGATGGCATTTAATATTACACAAAATCATTTCCTTTGGAAATTTCCATAATGAACCTCACAAAATATCTAGTTTGGATTCTTTTGGGGGAGGGTTATAATATTTGATGGCATTAATGTCTGTTCTGTGCTTTTGAGAAGTAAACAAATCTATGGGATAGGACTCCATAGATTAGCAAAGAATTTACTTTGCCTTTGTATTCAGTGTGAAAACATTTACAGTTGTACACTTAGGTTTACATCAATGGCAAAGGCTACTGCTACAGGTATATTTCAACACTCTTTTTCTTTCTTTTTCTTTTTGAATGCTGAGGTTTAAACTCAGTGTCTTGTGTTCAGGTTGGCACCCTACCACCTGAGCCTTACTCTCAGCCCTCATTTCAAAGTTGTTAATTAATCTCAATATTCTGATACAACCTGAAGATGGGAGTGTGACCCTATGTATTGGCCCAGCTAAGGCTTTCATCAACAATGTAACTTGTTGAAAATGTTAAATTATATAAATTGCTGTCCATTTTCATTACTTCTAAATATGAAACATTTTAGGATTGAAGTTTTTCCCCCTCTAACTATATGTTTGCCCTATCCTATCCCCAAAGGATTCAAGGGTATGATTGCAAAATCAATGGAATCATACAGAAAGGATGGGGGAGGATGGTAAAACATTTATCTTGTTGATAATATAAGTAACAGGAAAGCAGTACATGAGACCAATGTGAAAAAATATTTACACATCTGACTGTTCAAGGACGTACATTCCTAAACTTGCTTCTTTAATGACATTATTCAGTTGGATAATCTCCAAAAGCTCAATACAAGATTAAAAGCAGAAATAAAAGTCATTCATGATAGCTGCTATATTGCAAAATGCTTGAAAGATGTTTATGTTCTAGAAGTTATATTAAATAATATGTCAAAATCAGGATGAAAAGTCAAATGATAGTATCTGTTTCACAACTAAAATTCTTTATTTTGCTAAAAATGAGGGTGTCTCTAACTGTTTGATAAAGCAGAAGACTGAATGTTAAAATTTGGCTATCAGCTTTTTAATTAAAAAATACTTCTTACATATATAAACAGAACTCAGGAGGCTGCTAAGAGCTCTAAATTTAAGAATCTGAAGATATAATCATATTTAATATATGAAGTATAATGTTAGTATATGAGATTTACAAATATCTATATCTATATATATCTATACACATACATGTGGACAACCTGAGGAACATTCACGGAAAAACCAAGACACAAAGGGGAACAGGGTCCCTTCTGTTTTCTCAGCTGAATGCAAAGCTTTGGTTGATATGCAAAAGTAACATTAAATCCCAAACACTAATATGAGGGCTGAGAGATTGTCAGGAGTAAAATTTAAAAGCTGAGTCTCAAAATCTGTTAGGGAGTCACCTACAGGCATGACATCCTCTCTGGTGAAGAGGATCTCTGGGGAATGTCTTCTCCCTTCACTTCAAGTATAAGAAAGGGGCTCCAGAAAGATCATGTGGCATACCCAGTAGGATCAGGAGTGCACTGATATCTGACACAATGAGACACTGGCTATCACTGAGACACTAGCACTGAAAGCCTATCACTCTTACCCACAAAGGTGGCAAATTATTCAAAAGCATTTCTGTGGCATGGATGTGAGTCAAGTGTGAAAGAAAGCTGTCCTGAGATATCTGAACCCTGCCCAAGATGATCACTGGGGAGCAGAGACATTCCAATACAGAATGTGGACACACTGTTTTATATTTAAATTGTGCTGTATAATGACTATTGCCTCAGAAGGATGGATCAAAAAAGTCAAGGATGAATTGAATTTATACGATATATAGAGTATCAAGTCATTCCCACCAAACAAGCTTTAAGGGACACTGGGAGGCAATAAAGTTCATGACTTTGCCACATGAGCTCTACTTTTTCAAATATTACTATCCACTTAAATTAACACAGTGACTAGAAATCCATGAAACACGCATTTTAACAATACATATATTTACACTTTTCCTGTTCTCTGTCCCTAAAATGGTTCTCTTCATTTCCTGTGACTTTAGTCTTCAGCATATTTCAAATAAAAATATCCTCTACAGAAGGCAAATCACTGAAGGAAATTCTAAGCCAGAGTTCTCACAGAAAATTTTCTTGTTTGCTTACCTTTGGACAAGTGATTTCGGTCTGCTGGATCATGATGAGAGCTGAAGCTATGAGCGCGCCCTGCCTCACGTAGTTCACAGGGTCATTTGTCATTGGCTCTAGCAAATTAATTGCTTCCTGAAAGCAGTAACAAAACCAAAACCAAAAGCTTTATTCCCATGGAAGAGTAAAGTAACAAGTTGATTTGATTACTTAGAGTACAAAAGTTCAGAAATTAGTATTGTAAGTGAAAGGAAATGAATATGGTAGAACTTGAGTGCTCCTGTTTTCAGGTCAAAGAGGTTGTAAAGAAATTATGGAAGCAGTGGGCACCAGTGGCTCCCACCTGTAATCCTAGCTACTCAGGAGGCTGAGATCTGAGGATCATGGTTCAAAGCCAGCCCAGGCAGGAAAGTCTGTAAGACTCTTATCTACAATTAATCACAAACATAAGCTGAAAGTGGAGCTGTGGTTCAAGTTGTAGAGCACTAGCTTTGAGCAAAAAAGCTCAGTGACATCCTCCAGGCTCTGAGTTTAAGTCCTAGGATTGGGGAAGGGGAAGGGGAAGCGGAAGGGGAAAGGAAGAAAGAGAGGAAGAGAGAAAGAAAGAGAGAGAGGGAAGGAAGGAAGGAAGGAAGGGAGGAAGGGAGGGAGGGAGGGAGGGAGGGAGGGAGGGAGGGAAAGGGAAAGAGAAAGAAAAAGGGAAAGAGAAAGAGAAAGAGAAAGAAAAAGGGAAAGAGAAAGAGAAAGAGAAAAAAAGGAAAAGAAAAGAAATTATGGGAGAAAAATCTTGCAGAGAAAATGGGATTAATTTTTCATAAAGTACCTATTGTGTCATATTATCCCTATAATCCTATTAGTGTTAAAAATCATAATAAATGAAACAATCTTCATGAACAAAGAAACTCAAAAGTTTAAAAGTATGTTGCTCAAAGTAACGTAAGTAGCAAACTGGAGCCAGACTAGCTCCAAATCCTCTATTCTATTATGCATTTAAACTCTTCTAACTACTAGTGTAAAGTAGTGTCTTTAGATGATTTTACAAAACTTAATTGAAAAACTAAGTTTGAAACATTTCACAGCCAGCCCAAGGAAGAAAATGTGTTGAGCTTTTAAAAAAGCTCAGGGACAGCACCTAGGCCCTGAGTTCATGACCCAGGAGCAGCACAGAAAACAAAAAACAAAACAAACCCAACCCTCCCTCCCCACACAAAACAAGAAAGATTCTACTTAGAATGGGAAGCAAATTAATAGACTAGAATGTATTTAATTGTAAGTTAAAGACAATATGCAATGGATTTTCTAAACTGTATCAGTTATTTTCTCAATAAGCAGCTTTATAAGAAAAGGACTTCTCAGTTAAATAAGAGCAATATATTTACTGCCCATCAGTAGATTCAAAATGTACACAAGTATATGAAAGAGTCTAGGAATGTAAGTATCATAACAAAAATTCTAGCTACCTTGTAATAAAATAAAATATGCACCATGTCCTAGCATTTGTCCACTATATTTGACACATACAACTTCTGTAACACCCGCAGACTTTTGGGAAGTATCAACTAACCACTTTTCAATAGGAAAATACCTATGAGGACCAGAAAAATGGGTTTACAGTATTGCCACAAGTATTTCTAGATTCAGTAGATTACTTATCATGTATCTTCATTCTAAGACCAAGAAAAGAAAGACTACATTGAATCCTTTTTTGGGGAAAATGACTAGATTCTTCTACATGTGGACTTGTGCAGAAGAATAGTTTTTCAAACGTACTTATCTGTATTTTAATTTTTTTTGTTGCCGGGGATGAAGTTCCCCACCTAGCACATCTTAGCCATTCCTACCAGTACACTACTGAACCACATTCCATTCTTTTTATTTTGGGACAGGATCTGGATAAGTTGCCTAGGCTAGTCTTGAACTTGGAATCCTCAGACCTGGATTTCCTGAGTAGGTGGAATCACAGCATATACCACCAAACACAATGTAAACATATATTGTTAGTCTTTATAAAACAGTTATGATTAAAATTGCAGTCAGATATCTACTGATACCCAGGTCATACAAATTATCTAGAAATAAAGCAGACTTGTTTAAGTCTGAGTAATAAACATTTTTCATTGGATTAACTTCTCAGATGCTGTGTCTCAGAGAACATTTGCTCCTAGATATTATATTAAGTGTAAAATAATCTGGAAAGAGAAGAAAATCTAATTTATACTTAATGTATGAGGTCTGACATAAACGTCAATTAAAGACAAAAGAGAAAAAAAAAGTCAAGTAAAATGTCCAACTATATTTTTCCTTCGTATATAGAAGATACATAGTAAGGGGGAAAAATAAAGGCCAGTTTCTAGAAAGTGCATCTTGTATATTCAAAGACCTCTCTAATAAAACAGAAGACACATTCCCCCCATGCCCTTGCCCCTGGTTGGTCGTGGGGCTTGAACTCTGGGCCTGGGCACTGTCCTTGAGCTGAAAGTGAGCATTCTACACTTCAGGTTTTCTGGTGGTTTATTACCTGGAGACAAGAGTCTCTCACGGACTTTTTTGCCTGGGCTGGCTTTGAACCATGATCTTCAGATCTCAGCCTGAGTAGCTAGGATTACAGGCACGAACCGCAGGAGCCAGGCCATGAGGGACTCTTAATTTCTAATTAAACAACAAAAAGCTGGAAGCAGAGGTGTGACTCAAGTGATAGAGTGCTAGCCTTGAGGGGAAAAGCTAATCGAGAATACAGGCCTTAAGTTTAAATCCCAATATACACACACACCACCACCATCATTACTACCACCATTACCTCCACCATCTACTTCAGAATTAAATGATACCATAGATCAAATGGACTTAACGGAGATCCACAGAATATTCCACACAATAAAACAGAATATACTTTCTTCTCAGCAGCCCACAGAACATTCTCCAAAATAAATCCTATTTGAGGACATAAATTAAGTCCTTACAAACAGAGGAAAACTGAAGTTAATTTCCTTTGTTTTATCAGACCACAATGGAATTAAACTAGATATTAACAACAAAAGATACTACAGAAAATATAAAAACACATGAAGACTAATGAACAGTAGTCAAGGAAAAAACAAGGCTAAATCAGAAAAGTCTTGGAGGGCTGGGAATGTGGCTTATTGGTAGAGTGCTAGCCTAACATGCATGAAGTCCTGGGTTCAAATCCTCAGTACCACATAAACAGAAAAAGCCGAATGTGGTACTGTGGATCAAGTGGTAGAGTGCTAGCCTTGAGCAAAAGAAGTCCAGGGATAGAACCCAGGTCCTGAGTTTAAACCCCAGGACTGACAAAAAAAAAGTCTTGGAATAAAATAAAAATGTAACATACCAGAACATTTGTGTTAAGGGCCTACATTATAAAACCAGGAAGAGCTCAAATAATAACCAAATTATTCTCCTTAAGCTGTTAGACAGACAAGGGCAAAGCAAACCCCATATTAGAAAGTTAAAAGTGATAAAAATCAGGGAAGCAAATTAATGGAGACTAAAAAAAAAATACAAAGAATAATGAAACAAAGAGTTTACTCTTTCAAAAGGTAATAAGATTGATAAGCCATTAATCAAAACTAACCAAAAGAAGGAGAGAGAAGACCTCAACTAGGAATGAGCAGGTACCAGTTGCTCATTCCTGTAACCCTAGCTGCTCAGGATGCTGAAATCTGAGGATCATGGTTCAAAGCCAGGCCAGCCAGAAAAGTCTGTAAAACTCTTATCTCCAATAAACCACTAAGAAAAAGTTGGAAGTAAAGCAGAATGCTAGCCTTGAGCACAAAGAGGCTCAGGGACAGTGCCCAGGCCCTGAGTTCAAACCCTAGGACTAGTAAAATGAATGAATGAATGAATAAAACAGGAATGAAAAAGGGATATCACAACAAATGCCAATGAAATTCAGAGGACTATTAGGGAATATTTCAAAAAAAAACACTGTTTACTATGTTATAATAAACTGGAAACTACAGATGAAATGGATAAATTTCTAGAGTCATCTGACGTACCAAAACTGAGAAGATATACACGGATTTACTATAATCAACAAGATTGAAGCAATAATAGAGACTCCCAACAAAGAAAAGTCCAGGGTCAGACAGATTTACTGTTGAATTCTACCAGACATTCACAGAAGAACCAACACTGATGCTACTGAAACTATTCCACAAAACAGAAAAGGAAAGAATGCTACAAAACCCATTCTACAAAGCCAGTATTATCGGAATATCCAAACTGGATGACATAACAGAAAAAGAAAATTCCAGACTAAATACCTTGATGATCACTATCTCAATAATGTACAATTCAAATTCAACAACACATTAAGATGGTCATACACCATGATCAAGTTGATTTCATTCCAGCGATATGAAAGTGGTTATGTGTACTATCAAATATAAATAGAAAAAAGGACAAGAATCACATGACCATCTTAACAGTTGCAGAAAAGGCTTTGGGTAAAATCCAGCGTCCCTTCCTGATAAAAAGCCATGAAGAAACTAGAAAGAGAAGGAACATACCTTACCATAATAAAGACTATATATAACAAATTTATACCCAAAACTGTACTAAATGGAGAAACACTGAAAGCATTTCCTCTAAAATCAGGAATGAGGCAAGGGTGTCTACTCTTTCACTCTTATTTAATACAAGGATTAAATTTAAGAGAAAGAAAAGAGATTCAAATAGGAAAGGAAGAAGTCAAGTGATCCACATGCAGATGATAGGATTCTACACTTGAGAGAGCAGTGTGGTAGTGCTGCTGCAGCAGGCTACAGGCTGAGAAGCTGAAGTCTTGGATCTGTATAAACACAGCCACAGGAGTGCGCACAGGGACTACCACATTGAGACAAAGCTTCACTGTGAGGTTATTACAGGACTCTGCCAGAACGTCTAACACTGGGAGAGTGTCTCCTTGTAGTCCCCACTGCGGCACTGCCAGGGATAGCCCCCAGCCAGGCCCCAACAACTCACCCATGCTAGGGAGGGCGCCCTATGGAGCCAACTCTGCCCCATGTCCGTCTATGCCTCCACACACACACCGAAAAAGGAAGAAAGAAAAAGAAAGAAAGAAAGAAAAACCAACAAATATTTAATCTAATGAGCTGATATTTTTTTTGGGGGGGGGGAGGGTCAGTTGTGGTGCTTGAATGCAGGGCTTGAGTGCTGTCCCTCAGCATTTTTGTTCAAGGCTAGTAATATCACTTTGAGCCACAGCGCCGCTTCTTGTTTTCTGATGGTTAGAGACAAGGGTCTCACAGACTTTCCTGCTTGAGCTGGCTTTGAACCGTGATCCTCCGAACTCAGCCTCCTGAGCAGCTAGGATTATAGGCAGAGCCACCAGTGCTTGACTAAATGAGCTGATTTTGTTGGCTTCAGGTGAGAATCTTTTCTCTAATTCCAATTATATAAAAACACTGAAAATAACCATGTAAAATTAAAACAGCAGTTCTTTAAAAGAAAAAAAAACACCTTTTATTTTCTTGTATTTCTTTATCACTCTCCCTCCTACCCCTGCTGTCTACCCCCAAGAAACCAGTGATTTCAAACTGCAGTTCATTACCCTTGTTTCAGTAAGAGCATTTCATGTAATGGGATGTTGGACGCTCTAGCACAGCAGTGAGGGAGTACTGGGAAGCTGTGTCAGGCAAGTTCAGTCTTAGACATCAGACCACTCTTGTATTTATACAGCCGTTACATAAACTTCTCTACAAGGGAAAACAGTCTGGCGCCAGGAAAGAAGCGACCCGCGTGGCGCTGAGTTTTACCTTGTGTCCCGTGCCAGCACAGCAGATCCCCAGGGCCATGGCCGCTCCGTAGCGCACGTGAGGGTTGTAGCTCTCTGACAACAAAGAAACCACACTGGGACACTGCTCAGGGGTCCTGAGGAGAAATAAGAGTATGAAGGCACTGTTTTAGGTAACATGTCATAAATCAAATTGGAAGAATTTTTTTTTTTTTGGTTGGTTGGCCCTGGGGCTTGAACTCTGGGCCTGAATGCTGTCCCTCAGCTCTTCAGCTCAAGGCTGGCGCTCTACCACTTGATGGAAAAATTTTAATAAAGCAGAGTGCTTGACAAATAATTTGCAGAATTAAGATTTCCCAAAATTCTAACTGCTGATAGTGGAAACTTATCTTCAACCACAGCTTTGCATTCCAGTCATTCTCTGGTTCCCTCCAGCGAGACAAATGGCCATGTGAAGAGCAGCACATTGCTCCACAGCCACACTCCTGGCCACTATGCCTTCTGTTCCCAAAGTCATGTTAGATGTTTCCAGAGTTGCATGAAAGACTATTTTAAATTTTGTAATGTTACCCTAGTTATAAACCAAGGTGGTTAATACAAGCCTTAGATCATTGTTTTTTTTTTTTGGGTCCGGTTGTGGGGCCTGAACTCTGGGCCTGGGCGCTGTCCCTCAGCTCTTCAGCTCAAGGCTAGCGCTCTACCACTTGAGCCACAGC